GACCTTGTCAACCGCTTGAAGACTGACGCCGAAGGTGGCAGCCAGGGACCTCTTTCCGACGCCCGATCCATACCTGCCTAGGCTTTTGCAGGGTTCGAGGATGGTGACGGCTTTAAAGTTGCCGTGGAAGAGGGCCTTGAAGGTGTCCTGGAGCTGACTATCGAGCTCCTGGCGGCGAGCGTCTTTCTTGGACTCCCTGTGCTTTTGGTTTTGGCGCGCCTTGTCCTGTGGAGCGGAGTCCCTTCGGAAAGGACCCTTGGCGCGTGGACCACCGTTCACGGGGGCACCTCCCGAGAACTGATCCTCGAAGGCCTGATGCATGGAGGGGACTGCGGCGATGGCCTCGGTTTCATGTATGGTCACCCGAATCCAGCATACGTGGTCGGCAGGGTCGATGGTGGCGACGGCTACTTTTTCCGTGCAGGCGACTTCCTTGGTGCCCAGCTGGTACACGGTCACGGGGACGTGCGTGTGGACCACTTTGGGCGCCTTGGGGTGACGCTTCAGCACGGGGACGGCGAGCTCGGTACCGACGTAGTTATCGTTTTTTGGGCCCATGACAGCAATCGCAAGCTGACCCGTGGTACGCTTACCCTGCTCGAGGTGGTGTTGCAGCAGCCGTTCACCGCTCTCGTAGTCGTGGAGGCTGATACTGGGCTTGTACGTCTTGCCGTCGTCAAGTGATGCGGGTTCGGCAAGGACTGGGACCTTCCAGAAGGCCGGGTCCAAGGCAATGAATTGGGCGTCCGCAGCCTGAAGACGTGCGGACGCAACTGGTGGGTGTGATGTGTCACCACCAATGCGCTTAGGCTTGCTGCGCTGGTGGTGATCCAGCGTGTAGCTGATCTGGTTGGCGGCACACATGCGGATCAAGGCACTGCCGAGCTTCTTTGTGTTGGTCTTGTGCATGTCGTACGTGGCCTGCAGCTCGTCCGCGTTCAGCTCGGCGAGCCCGTTGTATGCGGCCGTGGGGCGGTCAGACCCCGCTTGCTTGAAAGCTGCGATGCAGTCCTGCTTGCGTTGGAGGAGAGACCCTTCAGCAGCAGGACGTGAGCTCGGCGGCTGCTTGGAAGAGCGACGGCGCTCCGGCTTACCGGGGGCCATTGCGGCGGGCGCTCTGGTGGGGAGAGAGGTGACGCGAATCAGTAGGGCCCTGCTGGGACCCCTCCGGTCTCGCGAGGCCTGGGAGTCTGACTCCGAGGCGGGGCGCTTCGCGTCGCGGCTGCGGTCTGAGCGCAGGGCACTCTCGAGCCGAGACTAGAGGGAGAGAGAGAGAGGGGGGGGGACAGAGGAAGAGGAAGGGAAAGAGAAAGAGAAAGAGAATGAGAAAAAAGAGAGAGAGGAAGAGGAAGAGGAAGAGGAAGAGGAGGAGAAAGAGAAAGAGAAAGAGAAAGAGAAAGAGAAAGAGAAAGAGAAAGAGAGAGAGAGAGAGAGAGAGAGAGAGAGAGAGAGAGAGAGGAAAGCCAAAAAAAAAAAAAGGAAAGGGAAAGCCAGAGAAAGAGAAGAAAGAGAAGAAAGAAGAGAGAGAGAGAGAGAGGAGAGAAAGAGAGAAGAAGAGAGAGAGAGACAGACAGAAAGACAGACAGACAGACAGACAGACAGAAGACAGACACAGGAGAAGAGAGAGAGAGGAGAGAGAGAGAGAGAGAGAGAGAGAGCGAGAGCGAGAGCAAGAGCGAGAGCGAGAGCGAGAGCGAGAGCGAGAACGAGCAATCGAGAGAGAGAGAGAGGGGGGGGGAAAACAAAAGAAGAAGAAGAAGAAGAAGAAGAAGAGAGAGATAATTTCTGACATAAAAACCGAGAGAGAGAGATAGAGAGAGAGAGGAAAGAAAGAAAGAGAGAGAGAGAGAGAGAAAAAAAAACCAAAAACACAAAAAAAAAAACAAAAAAAAAAAAAAAAAAAAAAAAAAAAAAAAGAGAGAGAGAAAGAGAAGAGAAAGAGAAAGAGAGAGAGAGAGAGAGAAAGAGAGAGAGAGAGAGAAGAGAAGAGAGAGAGAAGAGAGAGAGAGAGAGAGAGAGAGAGAGAGAGAGAGGAGAGAGAGAGAGAGAGAGAGAGAGAGAGAGAGAGAGAGAGAGAGAGAGAGAGAGAGAGAGAGAGAGAGCGAGAGAAGCGAGACGGGAAGGGACGAGAGCGAGATGAATCGTCGACGCTCTCTCTCCCGCGCTGGGCGAATCCCGGCGCGCCGTCTCCTGCCCGGCAAGTGCGCGGAACCATGGCGGGGCCGCTTTCGCGCCCGGCGGCCCCGCGGCGCCCGCGGGCCCAAAGTTTACCGGCCGAGGCAATCTGCAGGATTACTCCCAGACGGCACGTAGCGAAATTCCACCGCCGCCTGGGAGCGGGCCACGGCGTGCCAGCACGCGCCCGCCATGGAATTGAGGTCTGTCTCTTGGACCAGCCCGAGACGAGGACGTCGGACGCGGCGGCGTTGTCGACCAAAAATAATACACGCGCCGAACGAAGCTCGGGCCCCCAAGTCTGCCACGCGGCCGCGGAGGCCAGGAGTGCGAAAGCGTTGACCTGCATTTTGACACCAAATAGCTGGCGTAGCCACCTGCGAGGTCCGAATCCCATGGCATACTCTCGAGAACCTGATTGACGCCAGAAAACACCGACCCCGTCGCCTCCGTCGCCGACCGCGTCGGCATGCACCAACACATCGAACAAAGGCTGCGCCAGCTCCGCCGCCACGCGGCCCATGCTGGGGCAGGCCTCTAGCAAAGCAGCCCACCAAGCGCGATCGCAACCGCTTCGTGAGGTCCCAGGGCCCATGGGAAGACTGGCGCCAAAACAGCGGCCTGATGCAAGAACAACCCACCCGACCGAACGCCCGCGCACGCGCGAAATTGAGGCGGCCAGCAAATTTTCCCGCCGAGGCGGGGGGAAGGGGGCCTACGGCCAGGGGCTCTTCAATTTCGCGACGCCACTCTGCGGCCCCGCGCGGGTGGAGGCGCCACTCCACGCCCTGTCGGGCGACAGACGCAGCGCAGCCGAGCAAGTTCATGCACGCGCACATGCCCCCTGACTTCCCCGGGTCTGCGTCCCAACCTAACAGGGGCATCAGCTCCTGGAGCGCCAGCTTGGCGCGCTGCGCGCGCGGCTGCAGGTCCACCATGCAAGCGTCATCGACGTGCACATAACGGATGAGCTTAAATTCCCCCACCGCAACTGTCTCGATGGCCTGCGCGCAACACCACCGCGCGAACACGCCCCCGAGGGCCCCGGGCGGTCGAGTCAACACTTCAGACACCTTCCATTCGCATGGTCCGCATCCCAGACCGAGCACCACATCGGCCAACACTGCCTCGGGCTGGGGCGCACTGTTTTGAAAGCGTCAACGAAATCGTCCTTCCCGAGAAGAATCCCCAGGGGCCCGCGGGCGGGTTGCGGCGCAAGCCGCGCAGCAGAGCAAACGCGGCGCGAGACAAATGGTCGCGCATATCATTCCACGCGCGCTGTCGCGAACGCGCAGGCGTTGACGCCGTTTTTCTTGAAATTGATAATTTTCCGGATTTTGCGCACGCCCTCTCGACGCTCGCCAACGCCGAACCGTTCAGCAAGGGGAATCTGGCCTGAAATCACTTCGTGGAGAGCCAGCGGCGACCCATCTTTCCTGGATGACACCTCTTCCGCCAGACAACGTGCGGGCGCCTGGCTTCGCCCTGGCTATGGTGGAACCGATGATAGACCGACACCGCTGGAACAACTCGCCCAAGCACGGGGGGGGCCCTTCCCCGGCGCTGCGCGGCGACGCCGAGCCCGACAACTGGCGCCCGACGCCGCCGGGCCAGGCCCTACAAGGCAAGAAACCCCCCCAAAAAAAAACCTGGCGCGGGCCCCCGATGAAATCGCCATCTTGGCGGCCTACGGCCAGAAGCATTTCCCGCGGGAGGGGGCCGCTGATCCCCCCTGAAATCGGCATGAATTTCGCGGGGAGAGAATCGACCCACTGTTGGCGATTGCTCGCCAGAGCCGCGGACCGAGCCTTCCAATGCCTCGAGGAGTACCCCCGGCGGGCGGCCACGCTGGCGGCGCCCTCTCGCGCGTCCCGGATATTATCCGAGATGTCGGGGCCGAGGGGGGGGCACGGGTCGCCCTGCGGGCGGGCCTCAAGTGCCATCCGAACATGGTCTGTCGGACCCCCTGGCGGGCCCCCCTCAGACGCGCGGCGCCGCGGGCGCTCTGCACCCTCCGGGCGAGGCGGAGCGCGGCGGGATCGCGCGGTAGCGCTGGCGACGGAGTCAGAGCGGCCCTGGCCTGATGCCCCGTCTGCGCTGCCGCTGGAGCTCTGGCGAGCGCCGCCCAAAGACCTGCCCTGCGGGGACTGGCGCAGGGAGCGGGGGCGGGGAGGGGGGGGGGGCGGAAGGAGGGAGAGGAAAAGGAAGGCGGAGGGCCGACGTGCTCACCGTGAAGAGGCGCCTGCGGCGCGGAGCATTGCGCGCTGCAATCCAATGGCCCGCGGCCTCCGCCCCTCGCGCGCGCAACGCGAGCCACTGCTCCACCGGGCGCGCGGCAATCTGCATCGCCGCTCAACAACCTGCCCCGCGGGCTGCCCCCTGCGGGAAGAGGAGCAGAAGACGAGGAGGGGCAGAGGGAGAGGGAGGAGCAAGGAGGGGTGCCCTCGTTCACCTTGGAAATGCGCCTGCGGCGCAGAGCATTGCACAGCCCCCCTCACTCGCGCGCGCAACGCGCGTTCTACACCAGGTGCGTGGCGATCTGCGTCGCCGCGCCCTGCGGGCGCTCACCTCCCCTCGCCGTCTCCCTTCGGGCCGGCCCGCAAGCGCGGCCGCGCGACGGGGCCGGGGGCGGCGGCGGCGGCGACGCCAACGCCGCGTGTCCGCGCGCTGACTGGCTCGCGTGGCCCTGCGGGCCCCTGCCGGCGCCCCAGCCACCGCGGCCCGAGCTGTCGCCGGCCTGCTTCGCCCTGTTGCTCTGCTCCCTGACGTCGGCGCGCAGGCTGCAGGCCGTGGTCGATCTTCTCGAAGCTGGCGCCTGGATCCACCAAGGGGTCCTCGTTCTCGATCTGCGTGCCGAGGCGGAGCCATTCCTGGCGGTCGTACTCGTGCGCGACCGTGACCCCGAGCTCCTGCGCCATGTGGCACAGGTCGTAGAAGCGCCGCAGCAACCACTCGAAGGTGACGGCCTCGCTGTCGAGGTCCGCCTGGAGCTCCAGCTGGGACAACGCCCTGGCCCACCAGCAGCTGGTGAAGAGGGCGAACGACTGGAACGCCTGACCCTTCTGCGGCGGGCGCAGAGCGGCGTCCGACGTCCTCTTCGCCGGCTCGAAGTGCCCGTGACCCAAGGGAACCGCCCGTGGCCAGCCTTGCGCCGGCTGCGTCGGAGCAGCCGCTGAAGGAGCGCCGCCTGCGGCAGGTGCTCCACCGGCAGGCCGTTGAGCCCGTAGCGCTTCAGCCCCTTGCACACGCTCACCGACATGATTCCCTTGTCGTCTGACTCGGAAGACGCCGAACGGTCCCCGCTCTGCTTGGCAGCGCCGGCCCGCGCCCTGCGGGCGATGGCCCGGAGTGCGGCGACGGACTCCGCCTGGAAGTCAGCGCCTGCCGCGGCAGCGCTAGGGCCGCTGCCACCGCCAGCAGCGGCCTGCTGCACCTTCTCCGCCACGGTCGAAGCCAGCAGGAAGGCCAGGTGACCTAGCTCAAGAATGAGCGGGTCAGGGCACGCCGTCTCGAGGATCGCGCGGGTCGCAAGCTTGAGCTGCCACGCCTCGTGGAGGCCGGCATCTTCAAGAAGACCAGCGACCCTAAGAAGAAGCTCCTGCCCCGGGACACCCTGCGGGCTCAAGCACGGAGCAGGTCCTCGGAGTTCCTTCCCGACGCCCCACCGCGGGGCTCTCCAAGAGGCTCGATATTCTCCCCGCCAGGGGAGCGCGAGGAGAACGCCCCCTCGCGGGGGCGGCGGGGCCAGCGGCTGCAAGGCTGCGGGGGTCGCGGCGGCGCCGCGAGCGGGAGCGCCGCGGGGAGGGGCTCCCGGCTGGCTCCCGGTCAGCATCGCCCAGGGGAGGCATCGCGCGCCGGGCGGTGGGGGGCGTGCCGAAATCGAGGGGTGAAACCCCGACTCCCTGCTGGGCTGTAGGGGCCCTTCGGGCCCGACAGCTGCAAGCGAGCGCACGCACGTGGCAATCACGGGACCGGAGGCCTTCGGCGCGATACCCCAACCTGATCCTTACCAAGCAAATCGAGTTTCGAATTCCTGCCAACAACCCGACCGCCTTATCAGCCAGCGGGGGCAACGGCAAATAAGGAGACAACGGAATCAATCCGAACAGCGACCCATCCCAACGAATTTTCCGAGACACTAAACGGGTTTACGTCTGCAGAAAAGAAAAAGGAGGAAGCGGAGGGCGAGGAGGAGGGGGAGGACGAGGAGGAGGAACAGCAGGGAGGAGGAGGAGGAGGAGGAGGAGGAGGAGGAGACGGAGGATGAGGAGGAGGAGTGAGGAGTAGGAGGTGGCAAAGGAGGAGGAGGAGGAGGAGGAGGAGGAGGAGGACGAGGGAGGATTAGGACGAGGAGCGGTAGGAGGAGGAGAAGGAGGAAGAGGAGGAACAGGAGGAGGAGCAGCGACCGAGGAGCGAGGAGCGAGGAGCGAGGAGGAGGAGGAGGAGGAGGAGGAGGAGAAGAGGAACAGGTGTAAGAGGAAAAGAAGGAAGCGAATTGGGGAGGAGGCGGAGGAGGAGGAGGAGGAGGAGGAGGAGGCGGGGAGGAGGAGAGGATGGGGGGAGGAGGAGGAGGAGGAGGAGGAGGAGGAGGAGGAGGAGGAGGAAGAGGAAAAGGAGAAAGCGAAGAAGAGGAGGAGGAGGAGGAGGGAGGAGGAGGAGGGAGGAGGAGGGAGGAGGAGGGGGGAGGAGAATCAGAAGGAGGAGGAGGAGGAGAGGAGGAGAGGAGAAGGAGAAGGCGGAAATGGATGATGATGATGGTGATGATGATGATGATGAGAGGAGGAGGAGGAGGAGGAGTGGGAGGGTGGACGGGAAGGAGTAGGAGTAGGAGGAGGGAATGCCAAGCAAGAAAGGCAGAAGGCTCCTGCGCCTGCCGCCTCGAGCGTTCCTGCCGCAGCAATCGTACCCGACTGCGTCGCGGGTTTTGCGGGCGGGGGCTCGCAAGACAAGGCAGAAGAGGGGAGCAGGAGGAGGAGGAGGAGGAGGACGGAAGGAAGGTGGACAGGAAGGAGGAGGTGGAAGAGGAGTAGGAAGAGCATGAGGACACAAAAGTATAATACCGAGGAAGGAGGAAGGACGAGGATGAGGAGGATATGAAGGAAAGGCGCGAAGACAAGAATAAAGGACGAGAAAGAGGAAGGAGGAAACATATGAGAATGAACAGGAAGAAGAGGAGCAGTGTAGGAGGAGGACAATGACGACGATGGGGACAGGGATACTTCGCTTCCTTCTGCGCCTCCTCCTCCTCCTCCTCCTCCTCCTCCTCCTACTCCTCCTCCGCCTCCTCCTCCTCCTCGCCCTCCTCCTCCCCCTCGCTTCGTCACAGCACCAGCATCACCACCACACCACCATCATCCCGATCATCACCACTACCATCATCCTCTATCATGAGCGACATCATCAACATCACCGAAATCTCCACCGTCATCACCACCATCAGCATCACCAACCTCATCACCGTCAATATCGTCATCATCCTCCCCAATCCACCTTCCCGTGGTTTCTTCATCATCGCCCTCCCCCTCGCCCCCCTCTTCTTCCTCCTCCTCCTCCTCCTCCTCCTCCTCCTCCTCCCTCATCATCATCATCATCATCAGCATCATCATCATCATCATCATCATCATCATCATCAGCATCATCATCATCATCATCATCATCAGCAGCAGCATCATCATCAGCAGCATCATCATCAGCATCAGCATCATCATCATCATCATCATCATCATCATCATCATCATCAGCATCATCATCATCAGCATCATCATCATCATCATCAGCATCATCATCATCCTAATCATCATCAGCAGCAGCAGCATCATCATCGTCAGCATCAGCATCACCATCACCATCATCATCATCATCATCATCAGCATCATCATCATCATCATCAGCATCAGCATCAGCATCATCATCGCCATCATCATCAGCATCAACATCATCAACATCGTCATCAACATCATCATCAGCATCATCATCACCATTATCATCTTCATCGTCATCTTCATCAGCATCATCATCATCGTCATCATCATCAGCATTAGCATTAGCATCGGCATCACTATCATCATCATTATCATCATCGTCGGCGTCGTCTGCGTCATCATCATCATCATCATCATCAGCAGCAGCATCATCATCAGCGGCATCATCATCATCATCATCAGCATCATCACCAGTATCATCATCATCCTCATCATCATCATCATCACCATCATCATCTTCATCAGCATCATCATCATCACCATCAGCATCCCCGTCCACCTCCTTTTCTGTCTCCTCCTCCTCCTCCTATTCCTCATCATCCTCTCCCCCCTCCCCCTCCTCATCCTCCTCCTCCATCCCCTAACCCTATACGTGATCGCCATGCTACTCTACTCCGAGGCCGGACTTCTCATCTGTTCCCAGTCTTCCCCATCCTCCTCCTCCACCTCCTCCAATTGTTCCTCCTCCTCATCCTCCTCCTCCTCCTCCTTCTCCTCCTCCTCCTGCTGCTGCTGAGGCTGCTCCTTCTCCGCCTCCTCCCCCTCCTCCTCCTCCTCCAACTCCTCATCATCCTTCTCCTCCCCCTCCTCCTCCCCAACTCCTCCTCATCCTTCTCCTCCTCCTCCTCCTCCTCCTCCTCCTACCGCCCCCTCCTCCTCCTCCTCCCTCCTCCCTCCTCCTCCTCCTCCCCTCCTCCTCCTCCTCCTCCCCCTCCTCCTCCTCCTCCTCCTCCTCCTCCTCCTCCTCCTCCTCCTCCTCCTCCTTCTCCTCCTCCACTGTTTTTCTCATCCTCCGCCTCCTCCTCCTACTCATCACCAGCGTTATGTTCCTCCTCCTCCTTCTCCTCTTTCCCCATCCTCCTCCGCCTCCTCCTTTCTCCTCCTTCCCCTCCTCCTCCTCCTCCCCCTCCTCCTCCTCCTCCTCTTCTTCTTCTTAGTCTTCTTATTCTTATTAGATTATTATTCTTATTATTATTATTCTTATTATTCTTCTTATTAATATTCGTATTATTCTTAGTTTTCTTCTTCTTATTAGTATGTTGATGCTTATTATTCTTCTTATTCGTCTTATTATTCTTCTTTTTCTTATTATTATTATTATTACTAGTATTAGTATTAGTAATATTATTAAATAGAATTAGTATTTTCAATAGAATGAATAATATTAGTATTATTCGTGTTCTTCTTATTATTAGTATTATTAGTATTAGTATTCTTAATATTATTGTTGGCCTTCTTCTTATTATGACTATTATTCGTCTTCTTGCTTTTATTAGTAATAGTATTATTAGTATTCGTAGTATGCTTAGTATCCTTAGTATTATCATTATTATTAGTAGTAGTATTCGTCTTATGTTTATTCGTACTCTTATTATTCGTAACACTCGTATTATGTTTCTTATGATTGTTCTTATGCTTAGTATCGTTATTATTAGTCGTCGCATTCTTATGAATAGTCATATAACTCGTCTTATTTTTATTCTTAGTACTACTATCAGTCTTATTATTCTTCTCCGTCGTATTAGTATTCTTATGGTTCTTATTATTATTATCATTAGTAGTATGCTTCTTATCTTTATTTCTCTTATTATTATTAGTAGTAGGATTCGTCTGCCTATCATTATTCTCCTCATTAATAATATTATTATTCGTGTCTTATTCAGATTATCTTTATGATTATTATTATTATTAGTAGTATCAGTCTTACTATTATTCTTATTATTATGATTAGTATTTTTATTCTTCTTAGTATTAATATTATTCGTATTATTACTGTTATCATTATTATTCTTATTAAGTATTATTATTATTCCTCTTCTTTCTCTTCGTCCTCTTCTTCCTCCACCTCCTCCACCTCCTCCTCCTCCTGCGAGACCGGCGCATCCGCGGCTCGCCTGATCGGCCGGAGCGACCGCCGAGCCAGGCAGCGAGGTCTGCCAGCGCCCAGCACGCGCAACAGCCCCGGTGACCACGCCATCGCCGCACGGCTCGAGATCGATCTGGATGGTGCCTTCGGCTGATGTCGCTGGGAGCTGCGAGGTCCCGCTTGACGCGGGGCATCCCTGCAGCGTGTTGCGCTCACTGCATCTTGCCGAAGGGCCAACCCAAGCAAACTTGTCCGTGCATTTTGCAAGCCGACTGGCCTGGCCAACTGCCGCCGCTGTTGGTAGCGCGGCTCGGCGATGCAAAGCTCCCTTGAGCGGGATCGCGCCATGCCTCCCGCCCTGAGATGCCGAAGCGACGCTGTCTCGAAAAGCCTCCTGGACGGACGCAACGAAAAAGACGCTTGGCCGCCAGCCTACGCCTCGATCCTCCCCCTTCTTGCCCACCCCCTGCTGCAGCCCCCCTCCGCCCACCCACCCGCCCGCCCACCCCCGCTCCCGCCCTCAGCGGCCTGCGCCCCTGCCAGCCGCGGAACGCCCCCTGCATGAGCACGGCCGCCTCGATGCAGCGGAGGGCAAGATGATGCAGAACCGATCGGAGGATGAAACTGGCCACCGAAGACGCACATCGAACCGAACCAAAATCGAGTCGAGATGCTCGGAATCAAATCGGTTCGAACTGACAGCATCGGAACGGTTCTGGGGGGGGGGGCGCCTGGAGCAAGGGTCGAAGAAGACAGAACTGCGTAAACATTCATCTTTCGGAGCTTCACCCGCATTTACAC